ATTTATAGTCCTGGCACCCCTTGCAAATTGAGAACATCATCAGGCCAGAAAGATGGTTAATAGAACCAACAGGATTTATTTATGAGTTTCTTCTGATACAAGCCAAATACAAGATGTGAGAATAAAATGAAGTATCCTCGTGCTGTCGTTACTGGCAAGGGTGGCAGCATTCCTGAGAGGTTAATTGTGTGCCAACCATTTTTTTGAGTAGCAAAGTGGTTCAGGACAGAGCAGGACTTTCTATAAAGTGCTAAATTCAGGTCCTGGCGAGGCCACTGACATGCTTGCACAGGGATGGTTAGCGAACTGACAGAGGCGAGCACGTTCTCTCCCCTGGTGAACCCTGCACAGCCAAGGGCCAGCAGTGTAGGTGCTGTTAGCAGTTGCTGGCTCAACTGCCTTAATGCTCTGAAGTAGGAGGATACAGCCTCACAATCGCTCTGGGTCACCATGGCCAAACACCTCTAGCCTACTCACCTGTCTGACAGTGAGATGCCAGATCCTTGGCCATCTTACCATTGCTATGTGTGAAGGAGAAAAGAAACGAGATATAGGAAAGGAAAGAGAGAAGAGACTGACTTGGCCCAGTCATCGAGATTTCCTCAACCTCTTTTCCCCCTTCCTGAAAATCGAAGGTTTGCATTTTTGCTTAGCTTCCCATGAGACACAACTTCCAAGGATGATGGCCAGATGTTTTGAAAACATGTTAATGAGTTCAAAGAATGCCCATCACCACATCTAATACTATTGGCTCTAACCGTTTTTGCCTCAAATTGATCTGATTTAGCTCGGTTAGCTCTGTCTTAGCTCTGTTCTCTCTGATAAGATCTAGGATCTGTTGAAGGAAAGCGTGCATTTTTGAGCCTATCAACCATACATGTGAAGCTGTTACTGGAACTAGGAATTGAGGACCAGACTGACTCTGTCACTCTTTCCTGGCTGGGACTTGCAAATTCTTGGTTATGTTTACTCAGAATGTTAATAATTTCGGAAATTATTAAAATGGAACCAAAATACTTTCTTTTTAAGAGGCTATTGAGATCACAAATCATTCCACAAATATAATAAGCTATGTAAGCTGAGCAAGTCCAACACTCGACACTTGGCCTGAGCCAGCTGGAAGTGTGGCCGCTTTCATATGACATTTCATGTGTGGAACTAAGGAGGCATGAGAAAAACCCTTTAAAAATGAGGCACTAAAATTTTAATAATTGTGCTGGACAAAATGTTTTCGCAAAAAAAAAAAACAAACTTCCTTTTTTTCTCCTTTCTGCTTTTAATTTTTTAATTTTACTCCCTTTGCCCAGTGTCATCGACAGTACCAAACCCCTTTGCTTTTGCCCATATCATCGCCCTGAGAATCCTATTCAGATTTTAGGGGACCTACTTAGTTGTGACTTCCTAGGCTCCTCCTGCTCTTTCTCCAGGTAGAACCAATGCTTTTTCCTTTTGCCTTCACTATCTTTTGTGGCCATTGGATCCCATCAGAATTATGTGAGGCAATTTTTAGAAACACAGATCTGAAACCCACCCCAACACGACTGACTCAGAATGCTTTGGGGCCTGTACCAAAAGATCTCATGTACTCCATAAATATATACACCTACTGCGTACCCACACAAATTAAAAACTAAAACAAATTTAATTAAAACTTTTTTTAAAAAAAATAATGCTTCTTGAGCCCAGGAACGTGCACCGTAAAGTAAGGTGATTCAGATGTCATTGGTCACAGGATCACTACCACGAGGACCCAGGCCATTGTTCCGATACACCTTCGTCACACAGTCATTTGTACGCCTTTCTCTAGCTTCTTAATTACAGGCTTGTTGAAGGCAATGACCCATATAGTATCCATATTTCATTCAACACTTTTTTTTTTTTTTTTTTTTGAGACGGAGTTTCACTCTTGTTGCTCAGGCTGGAGTGCAATGGCACAATCTCGGCTCACCGCAACCTCTGCCTCCTGGGTTCTAGCAATTCTCCTGCCTCAGCCTCCTGAGTAGCTGGGACTACAGGTGTGTGCCACCACGCCCAGCTAATTTTTTGTATTTTTAGTAGAGATGAGGTTTCACTATTTTGGCCAGGCTGGTCTCAAATCCTGACTTCACTGGATCCACCCACCTTGGCCTCCCAAAGTGCTGGAATTACAGGCATGAGCCACCACGCCTGGCCTTAACACATTTATTGAGTGCCTAGTGTACACCAGGCACTGTTTTGAGAGCAGGAGACATGGCAATGAACAAAACAGGCAGAACTTCTCTCTTGGACCTTACATTCCCAGGAGAAAAGTCAGACGATAAAAACAAGTGAGATTATGAAATACTATCTCATTAGATGATAAGTTCCCTGGAGGAAGATAAAGCAGGGAAGGAGGAGATGGTGAAGTCCAGGATGGTGGTGAAGGTAACACTAAGCCTTTGCTACACAGGTGGTAACTGAGCAAAGAGTTGAAGACTGTGAGGAAGAAGGCCAAGTAGACATTCGGGAGAAAGACAAGGTAAGGCTCTAGAGCAGAAGAATGCCAAGCTCATTCTAGAAACAGATAGGCTGTTTCCAGTATGGCCGGAGCAGAGTGAGCAAGTGGGAGAGAGGATGGAGGAGGCTGGTGAGATGCGGGGGAAAGGGGAGATCTTGTAAAGGCTCGTCCGACCCTGTGAGAACTTTGCCCTAGCCTGGCGCAGTGGCCTGTAATCCCAGCACTTTGGGAGGCCGAGGCGGGCGGATCACTTGAGGTCAGGAGTTCGAGACCAGCCTGGCCAACATAGCGAAACCCTGTCTCTACTAAAAATACAAAAATTAGCCAGGTCTGGTGGCACGCACCTGTAATCCCATCTACTTGGGAGGCTGAGGCAGGAGAATTGCTTGAACTCGGGAGGCAGAGGTTGCAGTGAGCCTATCACAGTGCTTACTCCAGAATAAATGCTCCATGAATACTTGATGAATAAAGGAATCATCTCCGAGGTAGCATGCAAAGGCGTCTTGTGGTTTAGACAGACTAAGACTCAGAGAAATAATTTTAGCATAGATATTTTAACGTGAATATTTTTAACAAAGAGGCAGCTACACTCACCCAGAGCTCAGATTCTGGAGCCAGGATGCCTGGATTCAAACATTTCACATACTGGCTGTAGAATCTTGGCAGCCTGTCAATGCCTTAGTGTCCTCATCCATAAAATGCAGAAAATGATAGTACCTACTTCATAGAACTCTGATCATTAAATACGTTTATACATCAAAGGAAACTGTGTTTGATGTGCTTTGAGAACCAATAAATATTCGCTATTGCCATTAGCATGGATATATGTAAGACGTAAAATATTCAAACATTTAACATACTTAATATCCGATTTTAGTCATTTCTATATACTCATGATTGATAAAAATAACATTATAACTGAATATACATTACTGTATGATACATATGATATATATATATAATTGTTACATGTCCATTTTAGGGTATGCATGTTAAAAGAATGGGAATTCATGGAGTCCTAGAGATGGTAAAACAGAGGAAATGAGTAAACGTAAAGAGGATGATGATGTTGGTAACAGCTACATTGGTGGCTACAGCTGTAAAAAGAGATCGGAGTCCTCTATATTGCTGGGTATTAGTGTTCCTTGGGGCTACTAATAAAAATACAAAAATTTAAAACGTGAATTACACTTTGAAGTCTGTCTTTCACTTTAGTCAGACTTTGGCTTACCCCCTGCAAGCCACGTTTTAGATAGCATAAGAATAATTTCTCTCCGATTCCCATTCCTATTGAATTTGTGTCATAGTCTCCTAATACAAACTTCGCATTGTCACCAGACAGTTTTAATACAACTAGGGAAATTTCTTAATTCACACCTGGGAATTGGTTTCTACTAGGAGACTCTAATTTATGACTCATTTGAATGATTTGAATATCTGTGTGCAGATCTTAAATGCTAATGTTATTATTCATATGTAATAATACAGATGCAACTAGTAATTTTCCTAGCCTTTGTCCAGTTCTATCTTTAATATTCATTTTTAAAGAAACTTGTGAATGACACCCATCTTCTCTCTGTTTTGTACTTACTGATTTTTGTAATCATATCCATGTCTGCTGGTTAACTCTGATGGCTCTGGAGGTAGATGCCTGGCTGGCTTCAAATCCTGGGCATTGTTGAGTGGTTGTGTGACCTCAGGTAAATGACTCAACTTCTGCGGGCCCCAGCCTCAGTTTCCTTCACTGTAAAGTAGGGGTCATAACACCACTTCCAACTGAAGGCTATTTTTAAGATGAATGAGAGATACATGTAAATGAGATGTACACTTAGGCCAGCACTAGGCGCATGGTGAAACACAGTAAATGTTGAGTATTAACTATCATTGGTACTTCTGCAAACTGGCTTGAGTTCTCTCTTCCCAGCATTTGCTTTGTAATTCTGTAACTGTTCAGCATGTGTATGTCTCCCAACTGCATTTACTGCACAAGTTACTGGCCATTTTGTTTGCCTCCTTGCCTTCCAGGCATTATTTGGGGCGGAGTCCTAACTGTCTACACTTGTACCATTGAATCCCTTTTCACCTCCGGCAGCCCCTGGGCAGCCATCAGTCAGCCACGCCCCACCTGACTGACACTGCTAGTAAAACCGTACAGCATTAAAAAGACTTCGTGGCTCAGGTCCACAATCCCTGGGCCTTGGGAGAACGAGGCAGAGGAGCACTTGAGGTCAGGAGTTCCAGACCAGCCTGAGCAACATGGTGAGATCCCATCTCTACAAAAGAAATAAAAAGAAATTAGATGGGCGTGGTGGTGCAAGCCTGTAGTTCTAGCCACACAGGAGGCTGAGGCAGGAGGATCCCAGAGTTTGAGGCTGCAGCAAGCTACGTGCCCCTGCACTCCAGCCTGGGCAACAGAGCCAGACCATGTCTAAAATTAAAAAAAAAAAAAAAAAAAAAAAAAAAAAAAAGATCGAGCCCCTACTCTACGACCTTCACAGCCAGCCCCTCTCTTTTCTCGTTGCAGGATGTTCTGGAAGCTTTCCCTGTCCTTGTTCCTGGTGGCCGTACTGGTGAAGGTGGCGGAAGCCCGGAAGAACCGGCCGGCGGGCGCCATCCCCTCGCCTTACAAGGACGGCAGCAGCAACAACTCGGAGAGATGGCAGCACCAGATCAAGGAGGTGCTGGCCTCCAGCCAGGAGGCCCTGGTGGTCACCGAGCGCAAGTACCTCAAGAGTGACTGGTGCAAGACGCAGCCGCTGCGGCAGACGGTGAGCGAGGAGGGCTGCCGGAGCCGCACCATCCTCAACCGCTTCTGCTACGGCCAGTGCAACTCCTTCTACATCCCGCGGCACGTGAAGAAGGAGGAGGAGTCTTTCCAGTCCTGCGCCTTCTGCAAGCCTCAGCGCGTCACCTCCGTCCTCGTGGAGCTCGAGTGCCCCGGCCTGGACCCACCCTTCCGACTCAAGAAAATCCAGAAGGTGAAGCAGTGCCGCTGCATGTCCGTGAACCTGAGCGACTCGGACAAGCAGTGAGCGCCGGGCCGGACGCAGCTCAGCCCCGCGCGCGCCCGGCCGCTGGGTGGCGCCGCCGCCACCTCTGTCCCTGCCCTCCGAGCCCACTCTCACGCTGCCTGGTGTCCCCCCTCAGCAGCAAGCACGTCTCTTAGGGCTGACGGTGTCCTTGTCACAAAGGTGGATCGCAAGTGGAGCTTTTGCTGATGTGTTCCTGACCGACCCCGGGCCCCACCTGTGCCCCCCGAAACCAGGTGGTGGATCAGGCCCGAAGGAAAATGCTGGAAAACCACCACCCGCCACCCAGCAGTCAGAGAGGACCTTTCAAGGTGATGCACTGTAAATCCGACATTGATGTTTCCACCATGTGGAAAAGCAAGGATTTCTCTGCCCCGCCCCCGCCCTCTGCACTCCAGCTCGCCCCCTTCCCGCGCGAAGTGAAGGATGCGTCACTTTTCTGAGCTGCCCCTTAGACCTCTCCTGCTGGTCCCTGGACCTCTGGCTGGAAGCGCTCATTCTTGTGACTGGCAGGCTGCCCTCGGCTGCTGCTGTGATGGGGATATGTACAACCTCCATAAATATGTCGGTGCACAGGGGCGTCTCCTAATAAACCTGATGCCAAGAAGACGACTTGAGCCACTTGGATCCCGAAGTGGGCTTCCCGGGAAACCTTGAGCACAGCAGGCTGCACAATCCCCCACCCTCAGTCACCACCGCCTCTTCTTCCTCACTGTCCCCACCCCCTATTTGTGGACTAAAGATGAACTCTGGTGTGCATGCTATTATTGCTGCAATTAGAATATTATCACACACAAAGGTCTCTATATTAACGCTGGTTTTATAAGTGACCGTATATTGTAAAGAGCTGTTAAAAAGTATTATAGACCTATTCATGTATTATTTCACATGTTTTGACTCTGGCTTGCAGCACCATTCTGAGTAAGGATGAGAGCAGGCGATGATCTGCCCAGAAGGTGTTTTACTCAGAAAAAAAAAAATGCCTGGTCAGCAATTCACTGTCATGCACCTATTTTAGATTGGGCAGGGAGATGGGAGGAGTCGTGATTTTTACTTTGAATATTATTTCACTGAAGTTACTAAAACATTGCAGCACAATGTAGAAACTGGCTTGGGATGGATAGGTATAGGGAGGGGCATTCGTGGGGAAATTGATGACCGGAAACTCGAAAGCCCCTGTAATGTGGAATATGCATATGTGGAGTGAAGCGGTATACTATTTTCACTGCCGTGACACTAAGCAAAAACTATTTCCTGTTAAAAGAAAGAGAAAAAGAAAGGGATATTTAAACATATAAGGAGTTGAGTCGCTTTGTGGTATAGAAGGGAATAAGGAATAAAATATATGGAATAGTAATCTAGTTGAACTGTTCTGCACAAAACTTGCTTCCTTTTCAAAGAATAGACTTCAAAAGGGACAAACAAACATCAGGTCACCTTTTGTTTTTATAATGAATTATTGAAGTTTCCATGTCGTGGTCTCTTGATATAAGGAAGTAGACATAACTTATTTTCCAGCAAAATTGTACTTCCTCTAGATCCCTTTGCTCAGTTGCCCCAGGAAGGCTTCCCTGTGAGTAATGCTTATGGAATCTGACAAATGTGAATGAGGCTGCCATTGGTGGGAATCAGTAAACTTTGCAAACCTTTCACTGATGATTCCCCAGCAAGTGCTCCTGTGAGGGGCCACTTCCCTAGTATGTGAGAGGGACCCTCTGCAAGCTGCTGTGGGGACTTGGCTTCCTGATACTAGGTAGTGATGGTGGATCTAGAGACATTCACTTGAAGAGCAAGGATTGGGGTGGGGTGGGTTAGTGAATCTATCTCAGGCCACTGCACTGCAAGGTCCATTTCTGTCACTTCTGCAACACCATGAGACCTGAGCAAGAATGTACTGTTGCAGAGGGCCTCTTGGTTTCATAAATGGGTGTATACAGCCTGAACTCAGGAGGCAGAAATCAAAAGAAATCCTTGAGGGCTGGAACCTGAGGATAGAGAGAAAATGGAGAGAAGGGTGTTCAAGGTCAGGATTGATTTTTGCATTTAGCGGAAAACCTCAAGTCTGACTCGGTGGCAGAACACGCAGCAGAAAAGCTGTGAAGGAAGGAAATTTACGTGATTGTAATGGAGGCTAGGGGTGGAGTGGGAGGTGAGTGGAGGAGAGTCTCTGACCAGCTGCAGAGCCAACCCCTATCATTTGATTAACACGGAACCCACACAGATAGGGGAGGGATTAAGGTAAGAACTTACAGAATGCAAACACGAGCACACTCTCTTCGAACCCAGTTGTGGGTGTAGCAATGAAAGCAATATGATATGCTGCAGTGTGAAGCTCCTTCTGGGGGTTATCGTATGTACAAAGTTTACCTTATAATGGCTCAAATTGTATTTAATTTTTTTGTTTTGTTTATAAATGAAGAAAAGCTATAAGTATAATGTAATTATTTTATAGGTATACTATTAAATTATAGAACAAATAAAGATAATCTAGGATTATATGTGATCCTGGTGTGATGTGCCATAAAAGTGGAATTTTTAACTTGTTGCAGTGAGCCGTGAAACAGCACTGTGGATTCAGAGTGTTTTTGTTCAACCGCAGTGAGTTCAACCTCTGGCTTATGTCACATGATCTCCTTTGGAGTCTGGAATCTTCTAAGATAATTAGAATCAGGCATCCAAGGAGCAGAAGTGATGGAGGTGGCCCTCAATCCTGGTCTTTGGGAGCTTCCAAGCCTCTTCCAGATCCCCCACCAGCTGAAGACAGAGTATTCTCACGTGCTGGCTGAATGAGAAACACTAAACAAGGAAGCCTTGAGAAACTGCAGCAAATGGAAGCCCACCATTAGTCTCCCCGTTAGCACCAGGGACACACTTGTCCTGAGTTTTGTTCATTTTCACATTTACTTCTCATGAGTTCCACCATTTCTTCATATAAATATTTCTTAGTTTACAGCGCCTGCATTTTTCTATGAATTGACTTGATCTGCCATTCAAGAAAACTCAACTATCAATAAAAAATAAAATCCAGGCCAGGCGTGGTGGCTCACTTTGGGAGGCTGAGGCAGGCAGGCGGATCACGAGGTCAGGAGATGGAGACCATCCTGGCTAACACGGTGAAACCCCGTGTCTACTAAAAATACAAAAAACAATTAGCCGGGCATGGTGAGGGGTGCCTGTAGTCCCAGCTACTGGGGAGACTGAGGCAGGAGAATGGCCTGAACCCAGGAGGCGGAGCTTGCAGTGAGCCAAGATCGCACCACTACACTCCAGCCTGGGCAACAGAGTGAGACTCTGTCTCAAAAAAAAATGAATGAATGAATAAATAAATAAATAAAATAAAATAAAATAAAATTCAGAATCAAATTGCACATGGTTGATCCACTGTGTAGACTTCAAAGGAATTAAACTCAACTTCCTAGTAAATAGTTCATCTTCGTTTATTAAATGGGACAGAATATTTCACTGTGTGCTAACATATTTCAACTCACTTGTTTTTGAAGTTGGTCAACTGATTTTTAAGTTACAAAGTCAATGAAAATGACTTTTGCTATTGTGTGAACAACTTAGAATGTATATATTCCCAGAAAGCTTATTTAATGAATGACCTGTCACCACTGATTATTAATGTCTGCATGAGTGATAGCAATAAGACCAAGTCATAAATAATGCAATGAAAACTTTTTAAGTGAAAGTAAGTTTATTAAGAAAGTAAAGGAATAAAGAATTCCTACTGCATAGGCAGAGCAGCCTAAAATGTCTTATCCATCATGTTATCTTCTGAATTCTCCTCAATCCCCAACCTTGTCACCCCTTCACCCTGCTTCCCACACAGAGCAGATGCCCATTCAACTTATCAAAAACAAAATATGGCAAACCGTGCTTATTTTTGTTGTTGTTTTTTGTATCCATTGATGTTACTGACTTCGTTAGTATTTAGTCTAGAATAGAAGGCAAAACAAACAAAACCAGGGAAATCACTGCCATACCACTCCTTGAATCCTGAGTTTTCTACCTTGTCTGCCTTCTTTTCTCCACCTTCTACAGCCTCATATGTTTGTTATATGTGTGTGTGCATGTGTATATACACTATATATATATAGTGTATAGTGTATATATTGTGTGAGAAAAAGTAGAGAATGGTGTCTATAAAGGGTATAGTGTATATAGTGTATACACTTACACACACACATAACATCTGCAGATTTTAGTGGAGGGAATAGGAAAAAAATATGTCTAATGGATCTTACCCAGAATCAGAAGTTTCCTGGATTTTGATAAGGTTTATTGCCCACTTTCTAAGGTGTATGGAGTGTGCGCTTACCAAGTCCTCCAGCATAACTTGCCCCATACTTCTCATCTGGTCCTATTACATGATGCCAATCACATGATGGATCTGTGTAGTGATTTACAGAATGTCCCTTCAGTTTACATTTTGACCAAGAGCGTAATAACTTACATAGTCCGGGGACAAGGTCATAAACATAAACTGTTCATCCCATTGGAACGCAGACTACCTCTGGTCCTCCCACCTATTGGGATGACAGAAAACACGCTTGCCAGGTAAAGTTCTGGAGGTTGTTTTAATCTGCTTTAGCAAAGAGATCACACTGAGTGCAGCAGGAGTAACTGGGGCTACTGCTGGGACATCCTGCCATGTTCCATTTGATTTTCGTAGGAGCCAGCATGGTGAAGTAAATGGAAATATAGCCAGGGCTACTACAGTACTAAAGTCTTTGACGGGTTCATAATTTCCCTGATTCCTTCTGGAATTAGCATCATGTTTTATTTACTCTTTTTTTCTAGGCTGGGGAGCAGCTTCAGAGTCTTCCATTAGTCTTTCTCCACTGCAATAGCTCTTACCTAAGAACTCAAGAGTCAATGTGAGGGTTCTTCAAACTACCAAGAGTGCCCTTTCTAATTACATATTTGGAAATGAGGGAAAGGATCACTAGGTTAGTCTGTGGACCCGTGGGCCCACTGAGAGCCAGAGCTTGGAGGACTCTAGTAGACCCTACATGACTCTACATTAGTAGGGAGCCATGGTGGTTCACTGGGCCTCCAGGTATTGGCGTCAGTTCAGACGCAGTATTCAATAATTCTCAAAAGCGCTGAGTGTTCTTCTCTCCCAAACCACATTTACCTGAATAAAGTCATCCTGAGAGCTCCCTGGTTAAGAAGTAGGGAAATAACAAATGAATAGATTTGCCCTGGTATTGCCGGGTCATAAGGAATCAGCCACTTCTTCAGCCAATGGGTTTCAGGTCTGATCTGGAAACCGAACAAGGGATTGCGATTTTCATTGAGATTCTGCCCTCTGCCTCTGATTTTCCTT